GAATAAGAAGATAGAGTGTAAGATCTATCACAGGTTTAAAGTTATTAGTGTCTCTTCCTAGTCACTTAAGTATCTCTCACAAATACACAGTTACTGTTGTGAGGTAACAGTGCCCTCTCAACAGGGAGAAGTGGAAACAGAGTACAAGGAGAGAACAAATAAGCCAAAAACATCTGGATTCAATTATGAAGAAAGATTTTACAATCTCAGTGTGCAACTTCCCACAAATTGCAAGTTGCCAGATGTAGCAAATGAGAATTTAAAGGAAATTCATGTACATAGCTTCAATGTTTCGAAGTGACACATCATTGGTATGACTCCATACCAGTTTTTAGGCATGGCGTTCAGAACTGCTTTATGCTAACACTCTAAGCAATCTCTAGGAATACGGAACAAAAGCACTTTCCAAAGTCTACCTCCATGGGAAATCTAGAAATCTAGTTGAATTTTATCTCTGGATTTGTAGATTTGACAAAGCAGTCAAAGCAAGCAAGTCACCACTCATCAAAAATTCCTCACCAAAATACCAGGTAGGTGAAATGGAAACAGGGAATTAAAATTTATAACAAGACAGCGTGCAACAGAGACGTGCAACATTTCTGCCTCAGTCAAGCATCAGAAGTTCCCAAAGAAAAAAGTTTTCCCTATGTAACACCTACTTTTCACCTCTAGGCCAAAGCCAAAGAGTATTTGAGATGGGATATTTATCGTGGTGCAGGTGTTCTGCTGTACTTGCACAAACTTCATACCCTATCACTGGTTAACTCCAAGAACTGCTCTTTCAGTCTTCTTCTGTCACATGTGACAGTTGGTGCTAACTAGCTCAGCAACATCAGGAGCTAGCACAGAAATGATATCAGAATGTTGAAATTATGAAAAATTGAATGAAACTAATCCACTGTGATGGACCATTACAGGCGAAAACTGAGGTACATCTCCTTCTGCCTTATGAAACAGTAGGAAAGAATGTGATTAAGCATAAAGAGTTTTCTAGAGGCACTACTAGTTTCTATAGACATCAAATCCATCACTTCTTCAGATTTTACAGCTTAGTTACAGCAGTTCAGAAAAAATTTCTTGTGCATTTTCAATTACAATTAATTACTAAGAATATTCTAGTATATTCTTATAGTGTTACTTTGTCAATTCGATTACTCATTCTAAGTTCAGATCTGGTGAGAGCAATTAAATTAATTCATAAAAAAGAAAATTAGAGTATGTTTGCAACTGTATTTCCCATGCTCGAATTTCCCATTTTCCATGTTAAAACAGGAAACATGAGCAAGACAAACAACCTTGATCTCTCTTAATAGAAAATGCCAGACATACAACAGTACTAACGTCCACTGATCAATGCTGTTTATGCTCATTTGTGCTCAAATGCTATGCACGTATTATGAGGAACACAGACTATATATACCAATAACACAGCAGTTTCATAGCACGTTGAACAGTGCTATATTACTACAGCTAATTTTTATTACAACTCATAAAATGAGGCACTGACTGCTATTTGTTGCATAGCCTTCTCCCCCTTACATGAAAACCGACGAGACTGAGTTCACCCAGAGCAGTACTTCCCATTTTACAGCTAATCAAGGCTCATGGTGAAAATTTATATAGAGAGAGATTTAAACTCTATCAGTGTTTTGGCACTATGGCAGTAATTCACAGTTTAAATAAAATCCATGAGATAAGTTAGCAGCTGTTGCTAACCCACATATCAGTATGAGTCAATCATCAACTATTCCATTCCTTTTCATGGTTTTTTTTTTGTCAGTTTTTTTTTTCCCCTCAAAGTATTAATTCTTACATTTGCAAGTTCAGGTTTGCAGCAAGGAAACAAAGTGACCTGGAAAACAGGAGTACAATTCTTAAGTGAGCTCAGGTAGATCCCAACAAGAACTGTATGCTGTGGAAACAAGGCCTAAGTGCTGATGTGAGTTTCCCACAGCTTCTTTTGGCTTTCAAAGCCACATGTGTCATCAGTGTCTCTTAATGAAGCCATACATAAATATCTAACTGGTATAAAAAGATAAAAAATGTTCCACGGAACCTCAATTGAAGTCAGATGTGGAGAAAGCAGAAGCCTGAAATTTACTGTCATTTTAAGACAGAATAAAAGCATTTGCTAATAATATTTACTCAGTAAATTGTAATACTAAGGAAACCATGCAGAACATTTATAATTTCCTGATGCATCTTACATTAAAGAAACAGGTGCTCCATTATTTTGAGATTAGTACCAAATTAGAACCAAACCTTCATTTGCGTTATGATTCTTCTCCTGTTGAACACTGAATTATGGCTATACAGATACCAATCATTTAAAAATGTATACAGTAATTTTAATATGATGTTAATACTTGGGTCAACAGCACAGCACTGGAAGAGGAAACTGAACACTGCAAGTTATAAAGGTATTTAGTATGTGAAAAGTCCTGCATATCTTACTGCAAATTGTATTGCTTCAGTCTGGGCAAGCATGTATCTTATCTATACCAATCATGTAGGGAAGGTAATGTTTTCATAGAAACTTAAGATCATCCAAAAATACTTTCCTTAATGTGGTCAGCCTCTCTTACAGAACATGCATGGCACATTCAGGGCCTCTATTGAGCACCTCAAGACCAGTTTAAAAATCTGCACATTGAAGTATTTATACAAACATACTTCATGAAAGCAGCTTTGCTTAGGTAAATAAAATGCCAATGATATAACTTTAGGTGCAATTTGCTGACACGCAGGACAAGAGTGACAAAAGTTCCAACCCTTCTGACAACTGCCTGAGTAAAACACCTCTTCAAATGCTCTTAATGAATCAAGATTTTAAGAGAGTTCCTTTTTTAAAAAAAAATAAAGAGATGTATGTTTCCATGTTTGATGCAAATTTATTAGCCAAATGTAATCAACAAATCATTTCATCCAAATCAGTGACTCTATACAACGAATTGCAAAAAGAACTCTTGCATCACAGGAATAAACTTACTGTTGGGTGAAATTCTATTCAATAGAAAGAAAGGAAATCTTCAATTATTAGAAACCAAACTACAATTCGAAATCTCTTTGAAGAATGAAAGTGCAGAAAGGCAAGTAATTTCTCACCAGAACAGTAGAACAGCCAAACACTCAATACTCTAATCATCAAAGTTGGCCATACGTGTCTCTTGAAACCTGCCTCACCTTGGGGTTAAAGAGCACCTAATCAAACTCTCAGTATACTTGGTATCCCATGAAAGACATTTTATGGGATTACTACTAAGTAGTATGGCTTATTACTTTTGTTGCACTCATTAGAATGCCAGGTATCAAGAACATCTTAAATTGTTCTAGAGAGCACTGATCTTAAATCAACATCTAAATTTTAGAGTATTGTTCCTGCTGTGAGCAGCCCAAAAGTAGCCAGAGAAGTCATCTAGCAATCTTCCAACTCAGCTGTATAAACTGTTCACAGATTTTGAGGAATCATCATTCTATTGAGCAGGGTTTTATTTTTACTTTATCTGCAAAACAAAATTATACTATGTTTTATTATACAGAACTACTCTGTCTTTCCATCTATGAGCAATGACATCGCTACAAAACCTCACTAATGAACTCAAAGATTTTTGAAAGTACTCTAATTCCATCTATTTGTGATAAACTTTGAACTTTACAAAGTTACTTTACAAAATAAACTTCCAGCAGATTCAACATTCTGTAAAGAGTGGCTAAAACTTTATAAAAAAAACACATACACGTGCATGCAGTACGAAGCAGCAGAATTAAAAAATTAATACCTGCAAAACAATTTATTAGTAACTAGGGCAGAAATAATTCTTTTTAATACTGTCATTAGCTGACTTCTAAGCATCCTACAAGTCCTGTATGGCAGACTACAACCACTCTTATTGCTAATGGGTAGCACCTGGTAAAGAGTATTTGTTTTGCTTTGCTGAATCTCCCTCATATATGCTAAGTTTCTGTAGGCATCACCAGTCTGATTTAAGAATGCATCGAGTATTTTATGGTTTAATGTCTCCAGCATCTGCTCCAATTATTTTAAAAGGTTAAAACATGAAACAGGGAGTCAAGTCACTATTATTCCTGCAAACCTTATTAAGTGAAAGCGTTGAGCCAATTGCAGCTGAATAAACAGTTATAGCATTTGCACAGGCTACAGTAACTAAATAATCACTTTTTAAAGGCAACTCTAGAAACATCCATGTGATACTGTTGCACCACAATTAAATTATGTTGAGGAGTATAGACTTTCACAGATGGAGGAAGGATTATAAATATTATTAAATGCAACTTTAAGACAGATACTCTTTTTGATTGAAGACACTCAATATCACAACTTTTAAGACAGGGTATATCTCTCATAAAAGCAGAACATGCATTTAACTCCACATTACAACTTCTGTCACTAAATGAATAAATGAACAGCATTATATTCCTCACACTGCAATCCATGAAGGAGCACAGCTATTGTAATTTAGACCAAGTTAAAATGATAACTGATTTTCTTACACCACATACTAGAACTGAACTCTTTTCTTTAAAACAAACACTTACAAATTCTGATATTAAAAAGTTCTGATTAATTTTCAAAAATGTCTAATCTTCAGTCACAACCAGTAGCAAAAACCACCTGGCAACTTGCATAAATGCTGTAGCTATAAGTTCAAAGTGGGCTCTGTGCTATCATGACTACCTACTGTTGGTATACTTTATCAACAGTGCTACACATTTCTAACTGGCTGTTAAAATGCATCCCATACTGTACATCATCTGCCCTTAAAGGAAAAAAGAAAAGATTCTCATATCAGCATTTCTCGTTCTACAACAGTTAAAGGACACCTCCTAACTCACTGTATGGAATACACACATGGCTGATATAAATCATCCTGTAAATCAAACATTAATGCTTGATTCTACCGATGATTCATTTACTCATGGTTGCACAGCTGAAAATAACCACCTGGTTTTCCTTTAACATCCAAAGCATGTTTTCTTACCTCAGCAGCCTGCGTCTCTTGATGTAATAAAGTTAGACCTGTCAAGTCTTCCAAGAAGGAATGCGAGGAATTAAAAACTTTAGCTAGGAAATTAAATCCTTCACGTTCATATTGGTCGAGGACCTGTCAAAAAACAAATGAATAGACAAACAGAAGAGGATTTAAAATAAATGATTCATCATCTTGTTTTCATCACAGAATAAAAGTAAATGTTTTCTGAGCATTTGGAAGATCAATACATGCTGCACACAGGTAAAAATTACTGAAGAAAGAATGATCATTTCTTTCACTTCAGTTTCTAAGTGTGGGAAAAGTGGAGGTAAGAAGGAAGAAACGTGATGTTTAACGTTTCCTGCTTTAAAGGTATTTTTAAGTGTGTAACAAAACAGATGACACAGAAAATACAAAATTGTGTTCCAACGTCATGAAAGGATTTGAGTTACATAAAACACAGCAAAAGATTGTTCCAACGTATCACTTAACTAAAAGGTAAGGCTCTAGCAGAACAATTCTGCGTAAAACACCAAATACGCATTTATACAGAACACCGCTGCAGAGAATGCAGATGTCCATTCTTTCACAGTATATGTTCTATCCCCATTATCTTGTGAGAGAAGCAGAAAGTTGCACAGCTAACGTATTCCTTAAAGATATCCACTCTCGCTGGATGGACAAGTTCCCTGCAACTGGTGGAACTCACTTCCTCCAGAAAAGAAAGAAAAAGAACAACGGGAAGCACTGCACTTCTAATACACAACCTAACCAAGTAAGCTTTATTCCAAGGTTTGAAACAAACAGGCAATCCCTGTCCTCCTGGCCCCCAAATCATTTATTCTTCAGACAATAAGAAAAGAAATTGAAGGGAATGGTGATGGACAAGAAAATGGTTTCGGTATGTATTCATTTATCTCAACCAGAATTACAACTTACACTCAACAATCTCACTCTTTTGTAATTTAACAACTCCTAAAGGCCTCAGATAATCTTAAAACTGTGGGAACTTGCACAGTCAACAGCATTCTTCAGAAAAACAGGTCCAGTGAGTTCTTCCCCAAGTCCTACAGGAATTCAGGCTTGTCTCAAAAAACCACTTACATTTTGCTGATAAAATTGTTAGAGTATATATATAAATATATATATATTTATATGAAAAAATGTCCATGTAATATAAACAATACATATAGGTGAAAAAGAGTGGGCTCCTCATTCAGTCAATCAAACAAAATGTCCACTTAAAAGCAAAAACACCTATTCTATACTTAGGTTCTAAAATGTACTAACAGAATCAATAGAAATAACCATAAAGAGTAAGAAGTCAGATATAAGCAACTGTGACAAATGTTGGGCATGTTCTTAAACATGACATACGCATCTGAAAAAAAATTACAATAAAACTGCACTTTGAGTTCTTGTACTACATCTGGAGAAACTGCTCCTTATAAAGATTCTTTTTACTTTATTCAAATAGCTTTTTGTGCATTTGTGCAATGACCAATACATGTGACCAGAAGTGAAAAAAACAATAAACAGAAAAAATTGCTTAGCTGTATTTCATGGGACTGCATTTTTTTGTTTGCATATTCCTGAGACAAACACGCTAAGACAAACTGTACGTGATGCAGTGCAGAGATTTCAAAAACTGCAGTATCCACTTGATAAGCATCCTCCTAATATTATCCACTATACACATTGTGAAATTACAGTATAGGTAAGTGTATATATTTTGATGACTATTTCATGTTCCAAAACTCTGTAATATCAGATGTGCTGAGGTCTCTTGAATTTGGCTCTTTGTGAAACGCTGCATACACACCACAGCTTATAAAACTTTGGTTACATTCACAGTCTTACCTGTTTGAAATCTGTGAAGCTAGCAGCATTATCAAACGTGTTGCTATTACTGATATTTGTTGGAACCACAATACAGAACTCAGAAGGCATCTTTTTAGTGATGTTGGCCAGGTTACAGGCATATTAAAGGTTTTATGCCAGGTTTAATAGCATATTAAAACAATATACAGAAATGAAACCATAGTCACATTCTAAAACATTACAGCATGTAATAGTCTCTCCCCAAAGGTAAAACCTAGAAAAGGCATACACTGCTGGGATATGCAAACAAACAGAATGGAACAGGAAATGGAGTGCAACCATACTATGTACCATTGAAAATGTCTATTGAATAGCCCTCCAATCTTGTTTATTGTTACTCAGGTAAACATGCCTTGATCCTCATTTCCAAAGAGCCATGACTCAAGCCTGAAGCACAAATTTCCAGGTATTGCTTCCTCAGCGAGTACATTGCTTCAGTCTGCTAGGGTCCTCCGTATAAACTGCTCTGGTTTATGACATAAATATGCATAACCTTTCTGCATTCCTTGCCACAGCTGTAAATGAATTCTCACATACTCAAATAAAGCAGGCAGCATGACTGCACCGACATTTAAAATGTTTAAGGTGAGTTTTGGATGAACCAACTGGAATTTTTTTTCTTCAATCCTAGTATTGTAATTACTGCAGAAGAGGCTAGGAAGGCTCTCACGAAGTGTCTTTCAAAATGCATATTAGGAAAACATCAATAAGATCACAAAACTATGAGTCAAAGGGGTATAATTTTTGTACCCAGTGAATTGAATCTTTGAGTTTTTGGGTTTTGTTTTTAAGAAGTTATACAGGAATATTTTACGTGCCCGAAGTTCTGCATTATGGAAAGATCTGAAAATTTACTTTACCTCCCCACAAAAAAGAAACTTCATTAAATCACATTTTAGACTTCCTATAGCATTATGACGGCAAACTTGGGTTAAGGTAACAAGTCTGGTTGAGGAAAGATGCTATCTCAAAAATCTAAGCCTATGACAACAAAGAGTATTTTTCTTGTATTAGCAAGAACCTGAAGAAGCCTGAAAAACTTTACTAAAAAAAATGTACTTACTGTTAAACATTTTTACAGTGGGAATGGTCTGCTGAATGGAATAACTGCTAATTAGCTTTAAAATGAAAATTCCAGCCACGGTGACTCAGAGAAAAAGCTATCAGGGAGCCAAAGAATGACCAGGCAGCATCATGCAGCGTGCCACCTGAACAGGAGCTGCACCATTAAAGGTAGCATACACTGTAATGAAATAGTCTTAATGTAGGCAGCAATTGAAACAACATTTCTGCCATCTTCAGGGACTTTATTTCCGAATTCAGATGATTAAAACTTTGTAATAAATACCACAGAAGGAATAAACATTAACCTGCCCATGTCTAGCCTTTAGTATGCAATTTTGGTGACACCTGTCATCTGATGAACGTAACACGGCATTGGTTTGTCCAGTCGTCACTGAACATACCTCAAAAGGAGAAAAGAACAGAGTAAAATACAACTCATCTCAAATTCATGTGCCAGAAGACCACACAGGCACACTCTGCAGGTTGTCAGGAATAAAGCCAGTCTAGACATCAAGTAGCAAAAAAAAAAAAAACAAAAACAAAAACAAAAAAAACAACAAAAACTTAAACCATTTCCAGACTTAATCGACGCCCTATTTGGAGCTGTGTGGAAAGGAAAATTTCTCCTCCTTAATCATGCCCAGCAGAGTCCAAAGGCCCAAACTCCTGATTAGCAAGAGTTTGCTTTTTAATTCTTCTCTTCACTGCTAACAGCACACTTGGTACCAGTTACCATCTGAATAACTGCTTTCCAGAAGGACAGGCACTTGAGGGATGTTATTTTTATTATTATTGATCTCAAAGTAGTGACTCTATGACAGCAAAAATGAAATAAAAACCCTTAGGATTTTTTTCTGGGAATAAATGTATCACTGTCCAGTCATAACACTGATGTGTCACCACGTAACGATAAATTTTCTCAAGCAGAAAAAACTGCAAAGCAGCAACAAAAAGAACTAGAAGTAATAATTCTTCTGCTGAGCAAGGCCAGCTGGAACAATACAGATTTATTACAGAACCCTCATCTTTTTCTCACTCGCAAGCCACTTTTCAAAGATCAAGAGGAGAATTAGACAGTAGCAAACCTTACATGCATTATGTCTGTGAAAACTACTCTCGGGAGGACCCAACAAATTTTAACATCACCTTCTCTACCACATTTAAATCCCCTCCCCTGTTGACACCACAGCCTTGATTTCAGTCTCCATTTCACAGAATCAGGGCTACAATTATTATTATTTCATACACAATGGCACTGTAATAGGTGTGGACACACTTCTTCACAAATTAATGCATTCCTAAAGACTTTTCTGTATGTATCAGTTACATTTTCTTAGCAGTCATTTTATTCTTGTCTGTTAACCAATGGGGAAGAAAAAAAGAGAATCTCATGGTAGGAGAAAGAAACGGAAGGCCTGAGAGTAAAAACTTATTCCAAAATGAGAAACAGATGTACAGCTTTGGTGTTATATTCTTTTTAATAGCATTCTTTACAAAGAATTGCTCAGTAAAACGGCATTCAAAAAAGAGAATCTGGCTCCAGGAATGCTTTGTAGGATGAACGTTACTATATAGCTACAGAAGCATACGAAAACCCTTAATCACAACAGGCTGACAACTCATGTAATACTGGCTCAGTTCTGTCACAAATTTTTAGTGCTTTTTTTTGTTTTTTTTTAAACCAGTATGTAAGTATCAAGCATATTTAGAGCCTGGGTATTGCTTTGCTTCCACAAAAAAAGTTACAGGTTAATATAATTATTGTAAAAAAAAAAAAAAAAAAAGAACAAAAAACCATGGATAACATACCTCAAAAACAACAAGGCTGCTGTGTTTAACTCAGCTTTCAAAGCCTCCCTCTCAAAGGTAACAAACACGTACAAACCCAACATATATTTCTGCAGACTGTTATCTATCTGAGACAGTGGAGAACAAGTAGAACATTAGAGTGAATCTCAGCATGCTGAAAACAGAAATTTTGGTTTCAACATCTGCCTGGAAAATTAGATAAAAACAAGTTGCCAGATTTCAAAGCCGGATATAACTGCAGTTAAAACAGAAAATTTAGCAGAAGACTATAAAGCTGTGGAGAATTCTCTTAAGAGAGAAGGCAGTACGATGAAGTACAAGAGCCATCACAATGGGTGCAGGCAGTTGCAAAGGCGACAGTGCTAAAATGTCAGTAT